GCTGGCCTTGGCCGGGGCAATGCTGGTTGGACAGAGTGCGTTGTAGTGTACACCGGCGGCTCAACTTCCTGACTGGAAGAACATTTGTGTTCAATGGCCTTCTTGCAAATGTCAACCGTGTCCTTGGTGGTGGAGTCAACGCTCTTGTGTACATCCTGCACATTTTGTGGTCGTGACAATGCATGAGCCGGCTGCACCCTGGTTTCGATCGTCTTGGTCTTTGCAAAAAAGGCATGTAGCGTGGTCTGCCCTGAGCGCACAGCAGTTCCAGTGGCAGGCTTAACTTCCGGGACACTTCTGGTGAAAAACTGGTGCAAACTTGCTTGTCCTGGGGTCAGCGGCGACCGTGCATGAGAGTGAACCCTTTGGGAAGGCATTGTGTCAGGCGCATGCGCTACGTCACTGGCACCGCGACAGGTCTCAGCGAATGGCTGGTCAGGCGGCAAGGCCGGCCTATCAGCAGTGGTGTTTGTAGCGGTGGGCACCAGGCTGTCATGGGACTTCACCGCCAGCGATGCTTGGTGTGAGGTCATGGGGTGCTCATAGGCTACAATGGAATCTACATCAACTGGTGTGGGGCAATCGCGGCAGGACCACCTGATGCGCTGCTTGATAACTGGGGTGACGACACTTTTGGCTGCAAAGATCTGAGTCAACTGCATTGCATCCTCCGGCATGTCATCATTGTCCGTCAACCAGTTCATCATTGCATCTGTGGTGCCATCTTCATGAAGTTGATCAGCTACCATTCTGGTGTCCAGTTGATGGCCAAAGGGCGGTGGCACATCTACTGTGGCATATGATCCATGGCTAACAGGACGGGGATCGACATGATTGGTAGGCCACAAATAACCATCAAGGCTTACCCCACAACCCTCTTGCAGGTACTGGCAGTAGTGATAGACGGCTGCTTTGAAGAGAATCTGCTGGCGAGTGACCTGGAATGATACTCTTTGCACCGTACGCACTACAGTGGGTCGATTTGTCATGCCTGACTGGTCCGTATGGTGATGATAGATGGTGTCGATTAGGATTAACCTGTCAGTGGAGTGCAAAGCAATGTCTCCCACCCGCTGGACGATCGCTGGGATTGCAAGCTCTGGGAACCCATCTGGTGCAATCGGCATTATGTGCAAGGCTTCAATACAATTGAAGGGAACGTGCAATGCCTGAGCCAGGCCATGTGTCGGTTGTGCCAGCTGGGCATTGACTAGTTGAACCACAACTTCCTGTCCTTCCAAGCTGGAACACATGCAAGGGCGTGGTGAACCTCTGGAGCTGGAATGTCAACGTCCAGCGGCTGGCCTGTCTGGTGAGGAGCCATATCCTGAGGAGTGATCCGGGACGTCGAGCTATCTGTGGATGACCCCGCCTGAGAACTTGAGGAAGACATCAACCGAGCTGGCTGGTGACGAACAACCAATTGGAATCCATCCCCATGGGCCATGACATGATGCGGTCTGAGTGTGTACGGAATGTCTTGCCATCCAAAGGTGATCGTGCATTCCTGATACCGGCACATGTCTGCCGCATCAGCGGCCTGGGCAATGTCAAATCCACTGACGTGAGGTTCAAAGGACGCTGCAACTGAGAATAGCTCAAAGGCCTCATGCATGGTTGGAAAGATTGTAACAAGCCCCGGAAACCGGTCCAATTGCAGGGATTGCGTTACCACCAAATCCATGATGAGAAAGCTGTTCCTGGGTGTTCTTGGGGGGTCCGGATATATGACAGTGACGTCAAACCATTCATCAGGGTTGATTTGATCGACCCAAAGGGAACTAAATTGAGCTTCCCAACCCCGTGGGGGGCCTACAAGCTGGAGGTTCCTCGGTGCTGTCCATCGGCGAATGGTTGCATGGTCAATGTACCATGTTCTGACTGGGACATCAAAGTCCGGGTCAGTGACGTCATAACCCATGCGTGCAAGACGAGTAACCAGATCATCCACAAAGGCTGGCTGGACAGGCAAGTTGGGATTATGGGCATGCTGTCCATGATTGTTTTGCACATCATCGTCTGGAAGTCTGGCTGCAAAGGCTGCAATGGGACTTTCATGTTCCAATCGACACTGCATGGACGGGACATGACTCAACCACTTGGCGGTGTTGGCCTTCACTGTACGAGGTTGCATCCGTTGGACTGGACGGGGGCAAATGCCTAGTTTACGGTGTTTGCCCTGATCGGAACCTGAATTGCATGATTTGCGATTAGCACGTGCATGGGCAGATCGGCAAGGACCATGTGACACAATACTAATTTCACTCGACTGCAAACGCTCAGGGGCATGACCAGTACTCGACGGCTGAAGGCATGTTGAAGTCTCTGGCATGGCTTCGCATGGACGGAGACTACTGTCAGCTGACTGTACACCGTATTGTGCAACGCCGGCTGAATTGCCGGGATTTTTCCTGGGCAAAAGGCCATCATCGGGAGAGCATACAAGACTGTGGGGCTGAGGACAGGCATCTTCGTACCTAATCTGCAGCTGCGGCAAAAACTGTGGCTTCCTTCTATGGCCAAAGCGGTGTGAAACATGAATTGAGACCGGGGCTTCACCATAAGGGCTTCTCTCATATGGTGGGACAAAACTGCTAAAGTCATTGGTTGCATGGTGGCACATACCTACTGAGTTTTCAAGCCAGGCCCATGGTTTGGGATTGAGACCTTGACCACAAGTCAGTACCAGGACATGGTGGACAAAATCATTGGACTCACAGCTATACAAAACCTCAGTGATGGCATTGAAACGGGTGCTATGCTCAGCTGGACAGGATGAAGACCGACGACTCTGTGGCACATGATGCGACCTTGGGTGGTCAATGGCTTCTGGATGCACACTGCCGAACGACCAAGCTAATTGAAAGGCACTGTCTTGTGCAGCCCATTCGGACACAAAGTCAGCTTCATTGACAACAGAGTGATTCCATTTGAGCATCACGCTATCTTGACCCAACGGCTGATATACTGGCATCGGAGCAATACTGCCTGCACTAATATTAGCTCCGCCAATCAAAAACCAGAAGCTTCTCCTGAGGCGGGTGGCACAGCGTCTGTGAGTCCCAGCTACAGTCTGGGCCTTTTGAGGGCCTGGTGCTCTTCCTCCACCATCTGTTCTGCAGATGTTCTGAGTGCATCCAAGCTGGTATGGAGGTTGCTGATCCCTTCTTTGATGCGGTCTGCAGTGCTGTTGGTGGCATCTTTGTCTTGCTTGACAGTGTCGTCGTCGCTGACAACCATGTGGTCCTCCTGGACGTCCATGCCTGCAGCGGTTTTCATTGTAGCGAGGTTCAGCTTGGCCTGTTCCAGGGCTTCGAGGGCTGTGGATACACGCTCTGTCATCTGCTTTTCCTGAGCTACAAATTGATCGCTGTAGGTTTGCCACTGTGCCACTGCTTGGCTGAGGAATCCCCTCCATGCTGCATGAAGGTTGAACCTGGCAAGTTGGGCTTGTTGAAGCTCCTTCTTTGCTCTGCCGTGTGCTGTAACTGCTGAATGCATCTGTTTGGTTTCGGTTTGACCATCCTTGATGGCAACATCCTTGACCATGGCTTGCAGCTCTGGTGGGAGTGATTCGTTGTGCTTGCGCAGCATCGACATGATGGCCTTCATGTTCTTGTCCTCCTGCATATTGGGGGAGGATGACTGGGCTGTCGTGCTGGCTGTGAGGACTCCCAACCATGGTGCATCTGCAGCGGCTGTTGACAGACTGGTCATTGGTGGTGGCCCCATTGGGACTTCCGGCACCTGCAGTTTGCCTTTGCCTCCATTGGATGGAGCTTGCCTTTGGTCGGAATCGTTTTGTTTCCTCCGACTGGGCCTTCTTCGCAGTGTCTGCCTTCTTCTGGGAGAATTGGACCATGGATATGGCGTCTGATCCCATTGATCCGTCCAATTGTTTTCCGAATCCCAGTCGCTGGCATATGTCCATTGTACCTTCCTGGATTGCTGTCCCTGCTGTGACTTCGCATTGCTGGGAAATGTAGGATCGGCACAGATGTGCCAGGATTGACCACACACGCCACAAAACTGATGTGATTTGCCGCAGACCTTCATGCAGTTGACACATCTCCATGTGCGAGTGGTTTCTGACATCTCGTCTTCGACCAGGGCTAAGGCCTTGTCGTCCTTGGAATGGTGCTGTCTCAACTTGAGGATGGCTTGTCGCACTTGCAAATGAGAAATTGTATGGCTTCCAGTCTTGAACAAATGGAGCAGGTGACGGGCACGGGCACGTGCACGTCTCTGTGACCTTCGTTGGGTGGAGTTGGTCGTTGTGGCTGTACACACCTACCAAGACCAGTGTAGAGCAAAGCGCCCACAAAATTCCACCTGTGAAAAATCCCATGCACCGTGAAAAAATTGTTCAGTGATCGGCTCACTGCAGAGGCCAGAAAATCAAATTGCAAGGGCTTGACCACGCACCAAAATTGAAAATGAAATTGTAAATGCAAAAACCCGGTTTATGGCAGTGAACCGCAGAACCCGTCTCCAAGAGAAAAACCTTGGAGGATGCCAAAGGAGACCAAACCAGAAGAGGGACAAGTCGACCTCAATGATAGAGTGTCCAAATGGCACAACCAGCAAAAATTGTTGTTCACCGGCAATGGCAGACGGTTCCAGCTGTCAAGCGTGGAACCCACAATCCAAAAAACCAAGTGAAAAAATTGCCAGTTGTAGAATTGCGACGGGGTTTTTCCCACAGGTTAACCCCAAACCTGAAGGTCCGGTTATCCAAATCACACGGACCCGCGGGACGGCAAGGACGAGCGTACCCGCTAAGGCTTGAACCAAAAGCCTTGGTGTACCTACCCCTCTGAAAAATATGAGTTCGTCAGTTGGGATTATTATTCCCACTAATTATATGGAAAGTCCTAAAAGCCATGTTTGAAACCACCAAACAGAGTATGTATATATGGTATATATGGTAAAAATGCTTGAAACCACCAAGCAGTGAACCATTTCAGCATTGGAACCCCCTGGCTCGGGCATTTCCCCACCTCCACCCGCTGACGACTGGTGATGATGGAGTGGGTGGCATCCACGCGCGCCCGCATCTCATCGAGGTCAACATTCACTGCATCCATGGCTGCCGTAAAGTCCTAGAATTGGCGGATTAAACCCACCCAAAACCCTAAACAAGATGACCCGCAAAAATGGGAATTGAACTATCAAAATATGAGATTTTAGATGATTTTAGAAATCAAAAAATAGCCATCAAACGTTGGGATTTAACTACAGCCTATAGCATTCTAAAACCAAATATGGGGAATGGATGGGAATGGGGATTTGACCAGCAGAAAAAGAGGATTGAACCGGATTGAACCGTCAACCATGGGGAATTTTGCCGCTTGCCGCTTGCCGCTTGCCCTTCACTTCAAGAAAGGAATCAAGGAATGAGGCCAATAATGATGAGACTACCCCCAAAATACCCAACAAGAAAAACAAGAGAGGAAAAAATCCGGATCTATGAATCAATTGCTGATTTGTTCATCCAGTGAGGGGTTGCACATACGCAGTCCGTGCAATACCATGAAGGGGCGGCTAAGAGCGGTCCGCAAACACATATCATACGGATGGAAACCAACATGAAGTGAACACAACAGAAACCATCCAAGCATGATCCCTGATATATGAACTCAGGTGGCTGGGTATCTAGCCCATGTTCGCACTTAGCTTATGTTGGGATGGGGCAAGCAACACATGAGCAGCACCTCCATGTCACGCTCGCAAGCCAGGACAATGCGACGAATATGATTCACTTCGCCCTTGTTGTTGCCTGAAAATCCGTGGCTCAGCATCTGCAAAGAATGGTTGCAGAAACATGGGAGTATCAGGCAGTATCTGTGCTTGAGGATAGCCCAGGGCTTGAATCCCGCTAAGTAGCTGCCAAAAGAATGACCCTCGGTCGGTGCATATATTTTCTCATAGCAAGCGTCAGCTTAAAGGTCAAAGTCTCGTCCTGAAAGGAGCTGCCCAATTTGTTGGTATCATCCAGTTACTGAGACAACGTGCCTGGTCACATAGGTCGAGGCTCAGAAAGAAAAGGTGCCTTTTCCGCCAAGTGACCCAACAGATCTTTCAACTCGCCCACGTCGTACTTCAATTGATCCAAGTCCTGCAGATACAGCAAATTCAACGGTCAGTTCAGGCACCTAAAATACTGGGACCCTACTGGTGACCATCAAGGGCCGCATCGAGGGTGAGGTTCCCTTCCGTAGGCCTTGCATACACCTTGTGTAGATTGGGATCGTGTTAGATAGCCGGCATTGTCTTCACAAGTTACGGCACAATTTAGATATCAAGTTAGATAGGTCCAAGTGCAAAAATGAAACAAATGTGGTTTCCTCCTGCACTTGGCTTGACAGAATATGCAATCCAAAATCAGCAACAAAAACCAATCAACACTGATAAAATAAGCAACAATTTCATGGAAAACAGTTGTTCAAAGATCATCAGCCTGTGGATCAAGAGTAAAGGTATGGATTGACTATGTAGATATATATTTTATGATCTGCGTACACACACACGTATATATATATATATATATGTATGTAGGTATGTGTACATATATATATAATTATATAATCAATTATAATCATATATATATATGTATATATCTACATGCAATATATACCAGTGTTCCCACAGGTTTTACTGATCATCCTTTGCATGTCCAATCTTGGATCCCTAGATATCCTTCAGAAACAAGCAATCTGTGTCTAGTTGGTCAAGTAACTGTATCCCCATTAAAATGGCAACAGCTCGGTTTGTACTTGTGATGGTCGACCAATCTTAGCTACCCATCAGCAAAAACAAAAACGCATTTACATCCCGGCTTGTAGCAAAAAAAACATGGATAGCAATAAATTATCATTCCACGTGGTTAGGTTGACCAAGTCAATATCCTGCATTAATACCCATTGTCTATATAACACACACACATATACATATATATATATATTGTGTGTGCACGCCATCAATGTCAATTATCTCCCTTGTTGGTTTAGATCCCATTCTGACCCAACCCATGAAATTCCCATGACACTAGATTTCTCACGGTAAAGACACCATTTTCCCATTCTTTGATTAAATCCCCGTCTTTTTCCGCATTAAATCTCAATTCGTGTTGGTTTGGTGAACTCCTGAGTCCTGATGTTTGCTCGTCAAACAAGTTCACTCTCCCATTATTCTTGGTGAACCACCTCCCACAAGGCACGCCTCAGCCATGGTGTCGAGCCCAGCAGCCCCACCAGCGCCGTCTACCGGTTTCGTAGACGAAGCGCCGCGGTTCACATGGGACAATTTCTTGTCGAAGTCCTGCCAAGTTGTACAGAAACTGTCAGATTTCCTGGTGATTTCTTGGATGATTATACCACCACATAATGATTCAAAATCACTGGCACCGTTTTGGGGAACCGGGATCCAAGCAGCTATTTGATGGGAATTCAGCCATCAAAAAACAGTGGAATTAACCAATGATGAACCTACTGGATGTGAAGACTTGTGCCTCAATGCGTGGATCAGAGTCCCTCAAGAAAAAAATGCCCTGATGAACATCAAAATAGTTCGTAAGTGGATGCTCATTCCCAACGAAATGGTCTTGTTGGCATTATCTCGAATTGGAGGTACCCAGGGCGGAGGGGAACATACCAAAATATAAGACCTGAAATGGAATTAGAAAATGCCATGGGCAAAGGGTCCTGGATAAATAGAATTTCATAATCTTCCCGTGTTTCGAAACATGCCGTGGAACCTCGTTGTTTCTATAAAACCTGCAAACATTCGTCCAAACTACTGGCTGCCCTCCAGCAATCAAATATTGCAATGATTTTCCAAATAAAAACCTCTATTTCAAAGGGGGTTCCCGTGGTTCCCCATTGCCTTGTTTGATTACTGAAGGGCAGATTCCAATTCCCGGCTCCGTTTGGAGATTGGAGAGTTGGGCTGTGATCTGCGATTCGAAGTCTTGGAGTCGTGTTGCAACCTTCCTAGCACGGCCATGTGGAAATGACGACGGTCAAGCCGGTCAAGGAAGAAAATTGTCAAAGGGTCATGATGGTCATGCATGTGGATGGCCGGCCGGTCTTTGGTTGCAACCAATTTCAAGCTTGTATAATTATAGTAGCATGATTAATTATCTGTAACATTTGCGATCATATGTGCCCATAGGGCTGAACATGCTGAACATCTGTCAACCTTAGCGTACCTTTCAAACATTTCCAAACTACAATGGAAAACGCACGTGGTTTGAACATTCTGATAACGCAAACCCATTTGTGCCTGGTATATGGTTTATGGCCATTCATACTACCATAAGTGAAAAACCTAAAAAGAGCATATCAATCCCGAATATTATGTACTGCTTTGATGACCATCCGCAAGAACAACACTAATTATATATAATCATTTTTTGTTCAAAAAAAATCCCTATGACCATGGCACATGTAGACCGATATTGCTGTGTCTTTGGGCACATGTCCGCGCCATTTATCTGTCAGGACACTTCATCACCTGTGCATCGCTTCCAGCTTTGCGTGGAGCACCTACCGATGCAGGATGAATTGGAAACGCGCAGGGTATAACGATGAAGCCGTTCAGAACGATCCACACATGTCCATAAAGCAAAGTGGAAATGGATGGATCATCAAGACCCCAGTTTCAAATATCACTATAATGTATTGAGTTATCAATCCAAAGGAATAATCCCATGCCCCTACATGCCCCTAATATTAAACATCGCCATTCTATGGCCCCAAAGATGTGTGAATTCCTTTTTTTAGCCATAGTTTCTGGAGGATAATCATTAATGACATTCAGGGGAATGATGTTTGTAATGAATCCCTTATATTACTATGAAATCCCAGCCATTCGATGGATTTTTGTTGCTGAAATCCCATCCAAAACACCATCGAGAAACTTCGCGAATCGCAGCTCGGAGAGCCCGGAGCCTGCCGCTTCTTCTTCCATGGCCTTCTCCAAAGCTGCCAGGCGCTTCTCAAGTTCTTCCATGGTCTCGGCTACCATGGGGGAAAGGGGTCCCAGTGAGCCTAGGGCCTGGGCTTTCCAAACATGGTGGTGAAACATAGCTGGAGTGTTCAATTTTTGTATCTATTTTTATGAAATTTTAAAGATCACCTACAGTAAACATCAGTAAACTATGTGTGTGTGTGAAAATCTCCAAGTGGAACTGCTTCACAAGTCTTCAAACTCATCCAATGCTCTGTCTTCAAAACCGAAAATTCTCCTGGGCCAGCGACATGAAACTCGGTATGATTTTACCTCCCTTGCGGCCACGTGGCTGCCATCTTTTCCAGGAAACTGGCTGGTTTCAGGGCTCCAATTGAGTGAATTTGTTGCTCAAATGGCTGCGGCCATTGTCAAGTTACATGGGATGAATGGGGGTCATCCCACCATCATTAGGAATTCAACTATCAATGTGATAATGTGGATATTACACCCTATTGATATATTACATAATTACCTGGGTAAATTACAATATTTCACTAACCTGAAATAAAGAACCCGGCAGTATATTGGGATAATTTCCGTACTTTCCATCATTCTAGTGGGGTCGCAGGTGATCGCAGTGAGGTCGGTAATTTTTGCACGCAGGTATATAAAATATGATGGGGCGATCTAGCGGCCTGGCAATGGACAATTAACGCATGTGTAGAATATATATTCCCGTTCATTGATTTTACCCATTAGAGATCAGGGACTGCCATCTTGGATGACCGGGGGGTATCTAAGTACAACCTACAAAAAGGGTCCACAAAAAAACATGTGACCAACAAAAATGATAATTTCCGCCAAAAATCAAAGAGTTAGAGAGTATGGGCATGAAAAGTACCACCACCAAGATTGCTACACATCGATCCGTGACCGAAAAAAAATGGTCCAGGAAGGTAAAATGCCGCACCACTACCCACAAAATGGTTGGTCATGTTTCGTACTAAACTCTCTTGCTCTACAGTATGTACTTTATACGTGCTCTTGAGCCATAGCAACTTGGGGTTGGAAACATTTTGATTGTTTTTTTTCTGCAGCGTTCTACTGACTCAAATGCCGGCAGATTGTTTAAACAGTTAAACATTAAAAACATACAAGGCGCGAGGCAGATTCACTTTCACTATATTGTCAACTTTGATTGGAACATGGTGCTCCATGTTACACCCATTCAATGATTGAAACCGTTAAAAACCTTAATGTGTTACACTTTGTATTCAGCACATCCTGTTTTTCACTGTTTGAACATGGCCAAGATTGCGTCTGAACTTACCGAACATCCACGGGTTTAATCCTGTCCATTCGTTTCCCTTGTAAAAATGATGATAAATTAATTTAATGATAAGGGTACCCTCCGGCAATCGAACGTGGCAATTGGAAATACCCTATAAACGGAGGTTTTTCATGGGAAAGTCATCTATCTCAATTGTATTGTCATTAGTTTCCATTTAAACCACTATTGTGGATGCTTAAACCACCATGTCGATGTTATATCCTCATTGCACCCCCTATCATATACAGTAAGCATTATATAACCACTATGAACCATTACTATTCACCAATATTGACTATAGCCACAATATTAACCACTATAAACCATCATATAACATCATATAACCACCACAAACATGCATTACAAACATGTTTTTTCACCACGAAACACCACCAATTAACAGCGGCCTCAGAGGGATTGGGCGCCAGCACGGCGCCATCCAACTCGCTCCTGCACAGTGCCTGGAGATCTTCCCAGGTCCATATTGATCAAGTAGGGGGAACAAATTAATAATACTGTATATATATATATGCATATTATTGTTGAATGATATTATACTGAATTACGTTGTAACCGAAGGAAGTTTAGAAGTCAAACTTCCGACAATAAATGATATGGACAGATGGAAAAGCAGAGCATCAGCTCAGCCTCCTGGCGTGTTTCTTCTGACCGCCTAAAGTTTTTTGCAGCCCAACACCGGTCCGACTGACAATGTCGCAGGCTGCCGATGTCCGTGGCGACTTGGCACACGGGTTTGATCACCCGGACCGTAGGTGAAAGCAACCGACTGTGTCTTTTCTGACTGGTTCATTTTCCAGCAGCTTAGCCTCCTGGTGTCTTTTCTGACCGAACGAAGTCACGGACGCTGCTCGTTTCCTCCGCAAACACAAGGTAAAAAAGGTCGAGTTGTGTGCGCACAAGGGATCGTGCTAGAGCGATGTCTGGAAAAAAAAGTTTTGTAAGTTACACCACAACTGAAACCAAGGGTCTGTTCGCTGTGTGTCTTGTCCGTGAAAATGTTACCTGCTTGCTGTCGAACTGTCTAGATGGAAACATGAAGAACTACATAGATGGATGGGTGAAATGCTTCGGTACTTAAATGGATAGAATGGATAGCTGGATGGGCAGATAGACAGTTGGATAGATGGATAGACCGCAAGACGACAGACAGACAGAGAGACGAGGACATGGACAGATCTTGAAAGAGAGCAGTAGAAAGAAAGATAAACAGATGGACACATAGACAAAAATAGGATGATGAATGGACGGCTGCATGGACAGATAGAGAGCAAAGCAGATGGATGGAAAAACAGAGAGATGGATAGGTTGACAGAAAATAGATCAGTAGACAGAAAAGAAGGATAGATAAATAGATGGATGGATGGATCGATAGATAGATAGACAAATGGGTAACTCGACATGCCAACCACCTTTCGGTCCATCGATGGATTCGCTCTGCCATCTGTGATTCACAACAACCAACCTCCCCCCCCTATAGGTTTCCTATTTTTGAAACTTCCGCCACCGCCTTGTTCGGTACTAGTGGTATATGCTATATTACATTTCAGTATATCATATTATATTAAATCATATTACATTTTATTATAGTGTATATTATATTTAATGATATTATATTATACTATATTAAATGAAAATATTTATATTATATTGTATTGTCTTATATAGTTATATTAATTTATATTATATTTTATTGTATTACATTACATTATATTATATTATATTATTTATGATTTTCTCATTGTATATGGGTGTTCATTGTAAATGGGTGCCATGAGCTAAAAAAGGGCAGTTTTCAATAGTGTACCCCTGGTTCTGTCCAGCCGCAGCTAAAGGAGTGATCCAATGGAGTCCAACTCTACAAGGATATCACGGTAGGTTTTGCTGTGCCAAGTAAAAAAAATCCTGATGGTAATCAGTACGTATATAAAATAACTATACCATATGATCATGTGGTTGGGAAACTGGGAAACTGAAATTGTCGCCGCATATGGATACCACCGCAGGGCCTCTGTGCCCCAAGAACCGTCCATGGTCTGATATCAATGGTTTCATTGGTGAAAAACGGATTGAAACCATTGGGTTTGTGTATTCCCCCGAACAAAAACTGGCTTTTACCAAACCTGGGGTGATACCAACATCAGCCCGGGCATACAGATTTGCCGGGATGAAAGCTAGCTCTTCTGGAAACATTTGACGATGGCCATTCCATGGTATTTCTTTGTACGTGTAATAGTTCAGATTCCATAGTTTTTTTCCCGAAATCACGGTGTCATCATTTTTCGACATGATTTGTATAAATTAAACACGGCAGCAGCAAACACTCTGGCATTGCAACTTTTGGTGCGACTGGTTGCTAAATGCCTGTTCCTGATGTTCTCCTCATGCGGTGGTGTCTGGGTCAGCTACTTTCTCCCCCCAGCCACACAGGACGGAACAGCTGCAAAGGCCATAGGGCTGAGATGTCCCATCATGCCATCGTAATTGTTAGGTTTGCATGTGCTGTCTGTCGGAGTCATATGAACCAACATGCGTCGATTGAAACCAAATCAAACACATTGTTGGCGACACAAATGAGAGCAAATATCCCGTCGTCTCCAAGCATCTCTAGATCAAAAGCTATCCCGAAGCACAAAGAAAACAAGCTGAAGAAACTTGAATCTTCATGTTTATGATGAACAGGATGCAAATACAAATGGTGCAGCTTTTCGTCTTTCTACTATCTCTCTCAGAAGACCACGGTGGCGAGCATACATCCCAGCGACTGCCTCAAAACTATCTTCTCATGAAATCCCAGGAGGCAAGAATGACCATCTTTGCACGAAGATCTTAAGATCTGAAGATTGTCACATCAAACTTTCAGCTCAATGAAAGGTTTTTTCTCATACTCAAACTTCACAAGTATGGAAGGGACCATGTGGACATGGAGCATTCAACTTCCTGAAAAAACAATGGATATCTGGATGTCCGAGGTCGAAGTCTCTCCACTGGTGGCACCCCAAATCCCACCAAGTGGCAAGATGTTGTTGGTCATGATCTCATCCTAAGTAAAACTGGCAGCTGAAACGGCCTGTTAAGATGTTGTTGGTCATGATCTCATCCTAAGTAAAACTGGCAGCTGAAACGGCCTGTTATCTGCAAAATAAACACATCTTGAAAGTCCAGCGCGTTGTTGGAACAGCACTTTGGGTACACCTGGAATGCGTTGCAGAAACATATATCAGCTGTATCGGCACTCCTGCAGGGTCCAGCATGTGAGGACAGGTGGCTCCTTAAAGCCGGTCTCAAAGCCCGAAAAATCCAACCCCTTCGCGCAATGTTAACATTATTGTTCCATCTAGCTAGCTGTAAACCAACTACAGTAATTAAGTTACAATGATTCCTTCAAACTGCTGCAATAAAAACTGATTACAGCTTGAGTATTGCAAAGGAATATGCACTGTATAAGAAATTGAGGGGCTCGAATCCAAGGCGGGCTACATATTTTCAGCTATACCAAGCACATAGTACTTTAAGAATTTGAGGTACGAGTCCGGGGGGTAACTTGCCCCAAAATCTATGAACTTACCCCACCGCATGGCACACCGCTTACCCCACGACCCCAAGAACTTACGCCATGTGCAAATCACCATGGCGCACCGGCCCTCACGGACAGGTTTTTGGATTGGTTTGTTATTTTCCTAAGGGATTTGGTACATTTTACATCAGTTCGTGAATTCTTTGACCTCACCCCAAATGTCAGGGAACGCATGGCACACCTACAAATTGTTTTCTATCAACCCAAGTTCTCAGATGTAATTCCCATCGTCGGAACAACATATTTAATCTCTAAGAAAGTCATCCATGATGGTTTTCCCCATTGGCACACCGAGTACATCCAAGTACTCAGGTAACAGTTTTCTTTTCTGCAGCCGATCACTTTGCCGATCCATGTATGTGCACATTGTTTTCATGAATTTCCTATGCGGACTGCAACGCTTTGTACCGTTTTTATCTGTCTTAAACCTGACACAAAGCGTTGTAAACCGAATGGCACACCATCAACTTGACCTCTAGAAGACCAGTTCAACTTATTTTTACGAGATCCTTACGAGGTCTTTACGAGATCTGTGCGAGATCTGGATTTTGCAAGGCAAGGCAGCAGGGATCTTTTCTACTCTTCCCTTCTCTGCTCTAGGCCTCTCTAATCACTTATACTCTTCAATTCGATTCTCTTCTCTACTCTTCTGTATATAGTCTCTTCTGCTCTACTCTTCTCTTCTACTGTTCTCTCTTCTGTGCGAGTCAAGCTATTGAGAAGCCATCCACATGAGTTTCTATCTCAAAAAGAATATGTCTCAAAAACATGTGTGCCCCTGTAAAGTGTTAGAAAAATCAATGCCACAAACAATTGATTCATCCAGCAAGAATGACATGTATATCATGGACTTCCCAACGGCACACCGTTTGCGGCACAAGAAGATGACCGCGGCATAAGTTACCACTTTGACCCAGTACCCCTAAATAGGATTGCCAAATTCTTAAATTACAGCTTATACATGAGGTTTGCAATTCCCCTTTGCGGTTCATTTTTTTGTCGAGTGACCCCTTATGGCTTTATGGGATGAAATCGGGCTTTGCAGAAAAACATTTTTTCAAGCTCCGAGAAAATGTTTTTTTCGCACGTGCTTGGACTGCTTCCAATCCACCCAAAATCTATATGTGGATAGACTTGGGAACCTGAAACATTGTTTTCCCCAATAACTTGAAGAAAACCCAGACAAGCCCGGCGTTGCAAAAAAAAAATCAGGCTCTATTTTGTTTTTTCGGAACTGCTCTTGTGAAACTCAGACAAGCCCGTCTTTGCCAAAAACACAATTTTTCAGGCTCTAAAAAATGTTGTTTCGGCACTGCCCTTGTGAAACTCAGAAAAGCCCGGCTTTGCAAAAAAAAAACAGGCTCTAAAACATTGTTTTTTAATGTTTTCTTATATTTTTTTTCGTATGTCTCTTGTCAAATCTGCCAACTCCACCTCCTTACCTCGCTTTAGCTCGCTCCAAATTGCGCAGAGCATACAATACATAACTATACATAAGTAAGAATGCTTTAAGAATTTGAAGGACCCTCGACCTATTGTGGTGGAAATTTGCCTGCATTAAACAATAAGAATTTCAGGGACCCTGGGCCTCAAGCTTTCGGATTCTTGACCAACTCTTGGGCTGTATTAACTCATTGTATGTCCCAGATTTATTGTTAATGAAACTTCTCTTCCCCGCCCTCGTCTCGTCCCAGTTTCAATGTCCCTTTCAAGTCGCTTCTTTGCATCCACCTTTCCGGCCTCGAGTTTGCTCAAGGGTCGACATGGGTACCGGGTGAGCGACCAAAGGATAGAAGTGGGGAACGTATATGAAAACATGGTAACACCATGTAACATCCAAGTCCAAAACGTCGTTGAATTGAACTGGTTCTATCTTTTTGGGGTGTTCCTGCAAGTGTTGTAGTGTACAAAAAGTTGTATGTGCGTTGTGGAATTTCCATCATGTTCAGGCAAGTACCCACCATTCTTCATGGAACATGTATACATAGACATTCCAGACGAGAGGAGATAGAAAAAGGATGGCGGCCCTTCAAGCGTGAATGGTGCCAAAAACAGCATCCAAAAGATTCCAGCTATCACAGAATCAATCTACATTCTTGCGCCTTCCAAAATCACTGTAATTGCGTGGCACGTAGATTTTCTGCACTTTTACAGAGACATTTCTGTGTTGCTCCCCCTGCCTGGTTCACAACGAATTCATCCTCAGTGCTCTTGAACTCTTCCTGGATCATCTTGTTATACTTCTCCTGGGCGCTCGTAATCAAGCATGGCAATTACAAATCGGGACACATCAGCTATACAAATACACGTCTAGAATTTTGCTATCTATGATTACCAGAGGGTAAATTAATGCAAATAAAATGTAAAATGTCGCCTTTGATCCTGTGAACTGGTAGCCTGGAAACATCCAGTGACAAAAATCCCACAGTGATCATTCACGCATAGGCATAGGCCTAGGCGCCGTATGAAGAATGGGTGCCCCTTATCTGCATGTTTTGTTGTTGAATCAACCCGTCTTCTGCCAAGAAGACCGATTGGCTATTGAACTACAGGTGATGTTAAAACTGTAGTAATGTTCCATAATGTTGCCATACTATGTATATATAAATCTCATAAACTTAATAAAAAAAATCCATACCCACATCCAGTAAGTGATGCTTAAACCATCCATCCCAGGGGTGATCATCTCGATTGGGGTCCTGACAATTCGATTTTTGCATAACAGCAAACAACTAAACCCTTCCTTTTCCTCAGAACCCATCTAAAGATATCTAAAGAACCCTTGCATCTGCCTCAAACTATGACTTATTATGATCGGGATCAATCAATGGATTGACCTATGAGAAAATCAGTTCAACCACTGGGGGTTGTCTGGAAATTGAAAGTCTACGAGTACTTGTGTGTAAGTGTACCCTGAAAATCAGGCGCTTTAGGGCATCCAACTTTTGGACAGACCCAAGATCTGCTATATTGCATTGGAGATCCCACTGCATCCCCAATTACGCAAGTTGCATCCCATATTTTCTTGCTTCATCGGATCCTCGTTATTTGTTGGTCAAATCACCCATTTATTTGGTGCTTCAATGTCCATTGACGTTTACCCATCTGGGAAGCAACCGTCAAGGTCGCTGCCGCCAAGCATCTGTGAGGTCCAGCATTTCTTTGACCTGGTCGCATCATAAAACTGACCGGATGACTATCAAATATTAAGATGTATTTCTAGCAGTAATGTTCGCCTGGCATGTTTGAACATATGTATTTGCATGCGTATTATATATACATTATAAATAAATATATCTATCTATATATATATATATATAAATGTGTGTGTGTGTAAGTGTTGTTCATGTGTGCGTAAATGTGTATGCATATTATATATATATATAAATATGTGTGCATGCATGCATGCGTGCATGCAAGCATGTATGTGTGTATGTATGTATGTATGTATCTATGTATGTATGTATGTATCTATGTATGTATGTGTATGTATGTGTATGTATGTGTATGTATGTGTATGTATGTGTATGTATGTGTATGTATGTGTATGTATATGTATGTATGTGTATGCATGTGTATGTATGTGTATGTATGTGTATGTATGTGTATGTATATGTATGTATATGTATGTATATGTATGTATATGTATGTATACGTATGTGTATATATGTATATGTATGTGTATGTATGTATATGTATGTATGTATGTATATGTATATATATGTACGTATATGTACGTATTTGTGCGTATATGTACGTATTTGTGCGTATATGTACGTATGTGTACGTATATGCACGTATATGTACGTATATGTGTGTATATGTAATGTATGTAAATGTATGTATATGTATGTATATGTATGTATATGTACGTATATGCACGTATATGTACGTATATGTACGTATATGTATGTATATGTACGTATATGTACGTACATGTACGTATATGTACGTATATGTATGTATATGTACGTATATGTATGTATGTATGTACATGTATGTATATGTATCTATATGTTTGTAAATGTATCTATATGTATCTATATGTATCTAATTGTATCTATATGTATCTAATTGCATCTATATGTATCTATATGTATGCATGTGTGTGTATGTGTGTGTGTATGTGTGTGTGTATGTGTGTGTATGTGTGTGTGTATGTTTGTGTATGTGTGTGTACGTATGTATGTATGTATGTGTGTATGTGTGTGTATGTTTTCATGATTTATCTAAATTCATAGGTGTTGGAGTAACAATGGAGGATGTTCACGACCGTCGTTGTTTCAAACAAGTGCCAGTTGGATGTGGGTCAAGTGCTGGGATGCCCCAAAGTGGGAGACGCTCAAAATCAGCAAAGTCAGTGGTTCGCTGGGTCTTATGTGCTGGCGCATGTTCCCGCACGCATACTACCGCATACCGTCATACCACTGCATCCTACTTTTTCTTCAAAAAATGCTGACACCACTCCACTTGTGGATTCCGCTTTGTGGCAGCTTTTCGTGGCCACAAGATGATGCCAACCTCCAGAAGGACCCGCATAGTGAAGGCTAAACGCCCTTCACAGTATAGGCTACATATAGAATACGTAGGCATTAAAATTAGGCCTTGGGGCCCAAGACACTCAATCAACATACAGGATAATCCTTGAATGTATATAAGCCTTTGTCACTTGAATATCTTGGGGAAAATATCTTGATGCATCTTGATCATCCCAATGGGCAGGATGCTCATGGCATCAGATGGCATAACCCATCCCAGGTACAAGAACGCAATATCAACATTGAAAAAAATGGCTTCCTATTGATTGTCCCGCAACTCAACCCCATTGATCATCAGTAAATCCAATTTGTATGTTGTAAGATCATGTAAAACGTTTGTTTTTTTGTGAGGTAAATCCACCACAGATCCAGGTGTTATCCACATTGACCCATCAAGGCACTGTCTTTTCATTGTCACCTTCATGGGAATCGAAGTCCGTCAACTTCAGGCCATCCTGGCACGGATCGATCCGATTCGGATCCGATTCGGATCCGAGTCCCATGCCGCAGCCCTATGGTACCCTAGGTACCCTATTAGGTACCCTATTAGGTACCCTATTAGGTACCCTCTCCTGCCACTTCTTCTTTCCCAAGTTCAACAGCATCTTCTGCTCCAAGTCATTCTTTCGGTAGTTGATGGCAATGGAATAGTAGTGACCTCAGCATGTTCGATATCCCTAGGCTGACCGAAAGCTATCTGCATGGCTGCCCGTGATCTCAACGTGCCGCCAGGCTACCCAGCAACCACTTGACTACAACATACTACAAACAAAGTCTGAAACACAGAAAAGATGTGTGTTTTTGTTTCTTGTTTTATTTTGTTTCATTTGTTTTAATATGTTGCCCACATCAGCTACTTCCCACAGTGCTGGAGTTCCCTTTCCCGGACAAACCACAGCCTGTCATCATGACTCATGCCAAAATACGATTCAGACCATGGATCAGCGCGGTGATGCTGGGCTTGTTAAGGTGGCCGATGTTGGAGGTGGTCTGTCGTGGTTCCTGACCGCGACTCGCTGCAGGGGATGGAGTATGGGGATGAGGATGTGGATTGGGGGATGGGGATGATGAGATGACGGAGAGTACCATGGTGATGGTAAGTACGATGGTGATGATGACATCAATCATTGTCTCTAGACTCACCAGGTTTCAAGCTCTGGTGCCAAACACTATCTGAGCCTGACCGAGCATGAGCATCTGGTGGTTGATCAGTCCTGGGGCGATTCTTGCAAATCACTGTGTGTTTTGAATTTTGTTGTTTTCTTTTTGACATCCAAACCGATCCTGACTGATAGCTGCCTTCCCTTTCCAACCAAATATGGTTCTCTTGGGTTGATCATCTCGAAACGATGCTCAACATGCTTCAGCTGTCTTACTCATCTTTCTGGCCAAGCTCTTATCACTCCTCACACTCCTTCCTCAATGACTTGGCAAACCGAAATTGAAGTCAACGATCAAGAAACTAGATTAATTTTGGTTCGGTTTCACGTCCATTTTCCAATTTTTCCCAGAATCTTAGCAGTTCACTAATTCACCCCAGCTGAGCGGCTGAAGCAGTCAATCACCACCTTGCCCTTCACAGATTGGATTGGGTCCACCACCACACCCACGGCACGCGGATTGAGCTGCTCGAAACTCTGCTGGGTATTGATGTCCTCGGCCGGAACCAGGTCGCCATGTGTTTGCCGCATTCTCTCCCAATTCAAATGGAATTATACACACCATTATCAAAATATTACAGTGTCCTTTCAGAAGGCAATCACACATGGTGTATATCCATACTTATAATACACACACACACGCATATATATATATACACATTACATTGAATATACATACGTATTATAATAAATAAGTAAACACAATTACCTGTAAGATGGTGTAGAAGAGTAACATTCAAATCAAAAACAAGTGGATAAAAACGAGATGTTTCTATCTTTCTTGGCGTTGCCATAGTAATTAAATAGAAACCCGCAAAAAACCGCCGAGCAGTTCCAAGCCGTTTTTTTTTACGGACACATGCCCTAGTTCACACGCTGGAAACACATTTCGATCTTTTTAGGGAACCAAAAAAATATGGAATATCTGGATTTTTTGAAATGCAAAGGTACTCCTTGTTTTTTTGGGGGCCCTGTGCTTGTTAATCCCATCCCCCCTAATATTAAACACACCCGTTCTATTGGTCCCAAATATGTGTTCCAATCCCCTAAACCATCGTTTCTGGGTTAGTTAAAGCCCACTAAATCCATCCCATTGTATAAATCGCAACTTTTCATGGTTAAAATTTAAAACCCATAAAACCACCGTAAAGCACCAAGTTTCATGGCTACTAAAACCCCATTAAATCACAATTTGTCCTGGTTAAACCCATCTCCACCCATCTCCATCCTGGTTCAACCTTGCGCTTTCCGAGCAGCTGTGCCCGAGAACCAGCAACCAAAGCCAGGATGGGAGTGATACCAGCCCACCACCATTTCAGGCCTGAAATTCATGGTGACAACATGGGGATTTCCCAAAGAATGACATAAGGCGGTTTCCTGAAATGGGGGTACCCCATTTCATCATCAATTTTAATCAGATTTTCCATTATAAACCATCCATCACGGGTACCCCATTGTAGGAAACCCCCATATGAATATGGGGAATACGGTGATTATTGGATGCTGGGGTTCAGTAATTATATGGTAAAATATGGGGAATATTGAGTGATATTAGGTGGGGCTATCATGGACCGTCGGACATTTTTTGGGGGGAATTCAGTAATTCATGTACCCCCTGGGAATTGAATAGTTTGTCCTTTTCAGCTTCGGTTCTGCGTGCGACGCTTCCCTTTCACAACTCAAATCATATGAGAAATCCATACAGTATGATAAGCGCCGTTTAAGATCCGTTAACATCCTTTTTTAGTATCCTTGAACATCCTTCAACATTCTTTGATACTCAATTAGTCCAGAAATGCTGGATGCTCCCATAGTTCGACTCATTCTAGCATACCACTTGACATGTAGTCGCTGGAAGTGCAGCTGAGGTGAAGGGACCCATTGAAAAGCCTCTGGGCAATCTGGGTCTGGGACAATCCAGGATCGGTCCATTGATGCAGCGCAACATCCACTGATGGCATGTCCCATCATCCAGCAGCACCCAGGCCTCCCAGTCTGCTTCAACATGTCCAACATCTTGGCTTGGAAGACCGGGTCTACAGCCTCGCCCAGAAATGCCAATGGCCGCCATGGCACTGAAACCTGCTAGTTATATATATATAGATATATTGAACGATCAGTTGAAATGGCAAAACCCGACATGCCAGGCTGCCATGCCTTGTTTTTCTGCTTGAACAGAATACCAAAATGGACACCCGAACTCATCAACGGTGTGGATTTTCATGCACCTCTCTGGGACTCCCCCGTGACCGTGCCTCAACACTGACACTATTGCCTGACTGAGGCATGGAGAACACGTCCACTACACGGACCTCGGAAAGCCGCTGCAATCTTTAGAAGTGGGTCAACTTGGGTAATTACTTATAAAGAGCTAGGGACGGCCAATCTATGCTACGCTTATTTAGTGGCTAGTTCCGAGCATGTCGTGCAAGAATTATTAGCCTTACCGTGGAGTTTCCCAAGACAAAATAAATTAAATTAAACATCAACAAGGTTGTATCCATCCCGGGTGCTTTTCAAAAGGTTGGAGGCTGAGGGGAGGGTCATCTTCAACCAAACGATGGAGCGAAACATGGAAGGGAAGCAAAAGCCAATTCCCACCCCAAAGGCAGCGCTGCCCAGAAACGGTGTAGTCATCGATGAATTCCCCCAGCATCAGGCCCATAACTTCCATGGGAACGCCCGCGCGGCCGTGCTTCAGCATCTTCCTGACGGTGGGGGTATCCTATAAACATGAAAATTGAACCACTCTAGAGGGATATAGGGTAAAGATCCGGATCTTTGCTCCGTCTCTCCGTCTCTCTCTCCCTCTCTCTATAGTAATTATCGATGATCTAATGATATGATATGAGACGAGTATGATATGTTTTTCTATGGTATAGTGGCATAATACTGGACATCTTCAAGCAAAACGGGGATGGTGCCAAATTGTGCCAAGGTGCAGCAAGGCTAGCGAGGAGATGTAGACCTGTCGGCAAGTGATCAATCTCTGGAACGTTCTGGGAAAACGCATGGTGAAATCAACCTGGGTTGGAAGATTCAATGGCTAGATTTACATAAGATGATTTAAGAATGATGAATCATCTAGACTCATGTGTGGGTTTATAGTCAATGAATAACGAGTTTGACCAAATCTTGACAAGAGATGATTTTTGACAACATATCTCCCCGATTTCAAGCGTGGAATTCTGAGTCTGCCAGAAAGGAGAAAAAAGTGAGCAAGGATGAGCAAGGCCCATTCCGAGTTTGGTGCTTCTTGCGGGCTAAGATGTCCCTGTGTTGATGGGCCCCAACGGCCCCAACTTGTTGATGGAGAACATGGGTGCGTATCTGTGTATGTGTGGATGCGTGTGCGTGTGTGAATTGGGGTAGCCCAAAAAAAAAGAAACAAATGATGATGATGATTTATCGCCATTTTCCCCTGAAAAAACATGTTCAGAGCCACATCCACCACTGTCTCCGCCACCTGTTCCGCAGTGTCTGCCAGCGCTGCGTCTTCTTGTTGCTGCCCACCACCACCTGGCAGGATGACAAGTGAGCAGCGCACAGTAAGGTCGGGGAAAGGAGGTTACATGACAATACCATCAATTGTTCTCATATTTGTTGTTGTATCTTGTCATGGAAAATCCTCAAGTCTTTGGCCCTTCTGATTTGTTCATTTTGATGTCGTTTATAAGTCTGCGGCTGTCCACTCGCCCGTGAGCTGCGCCTGCCATGCCAGGCATGTTCCCCAAGATCCGCTGCAAATTGAAGTTGCCCGCCATCTGCGGCCCCGAGTTCCCGCGAGCAAACAAAAAGGGGTAAGGGCAAAGATGATCAAAGAGGCCTGTCCAACAGGAACAGTTGGCTTGAGAGTCTCGCAACTTTCTTGAAGAAAGCTAGTTCGAGGACTCTGGATTTTTTTGGGGTTCAGAACAAACTGAACAAAACTTACAGGAATATACAGAAATCAGTTTTGGAGTTCAACATTTTTGGAAGCTGCTCTTGTATGATACCAGCCATCAAACCAATCTCAACCACGGCCAGCCCCACCTCCAAAAGGCGTTGTGGTGACAGCACGGCTGGACGACTGGACCCTCCCAGATTTGGTCTTACTCCGAGACCACTGGCTGTTCGAACCCAAAGGATGTTCCGCGGTGCGCGAGGAGTGCAGGGGTACAATTCAACGCAGGTTCGATGGATCGATAGGGTGTTGGGACAGCATTCCAAAGCTTGAGTGTTGTTTCAATGAAAATGTTTGTGTTTGGACATGTTCTCCAGGAAACAATACAACAGTAATTCTTTATCTTCCAAGCATGCTGCTGGTTTCAAGCACTTTACGACAATATTATACAATATTTTACAAATATATTTAAATATATACAAATGGGATCTAGTTTGTTGCCTCTTCTCTGGAATTGTGTTCTGTGTCGCCCATTTGCTAGGACTCGGTAAGATGGCAATGCAAAAAATCCATACGTAACATCCATTTTGCTCGGGGATTTTCCGTTGCTTAGCAAAAGGACATACGGATCACTTTGCCTCGATCGCATATCGAATGGGAGAAATACTACGCCTCGATGCGACGGGCAAAATGGATGAAACAGTGGGAAAACCTGCTTGGATGTTCCACCCGATGTGTCACATTAACATCAATGAAATGTTCATAATGTAAACAGAATGCATATATATGATAAAACCATATATATATATATGATAATGTTGATATGCATAACAGAATGCAAATGATAAAACCATATATATATAATATATATAATATTATATAATTGATAATGTTGATATGCAAATATACGCATGCTAATTTTTACATGACACTTTTTTTTTGATTATGCATACACGATAATACATGTAATACAATGCACAGTGTACATGATACATGCGTGTGTCCAGTCGGGACACCAAAAAAAAATGGGTGTGCATCTCGGTTTACTCAGGTACAATCCCAATCATATGGAGTGTGTAGCTTGAAGACAATACAATCCACTTCTCAGTGGCAACCAAATTGGTCTCAAAATTCCCCCCCAAAGTTGGCAATCCAGCAAGGCGCTTCAATCCCATAGATTGACAATAAAAGACCCTGGGCAAACATAAGAAGAAATCCCGGAAACAAAGCAACATAAAGCAACCAACAGCAGGCCCTATGCAAACCTGGGACCCCTAAAATCTGGTTATATAATAGATGTTGATTCCTCCAGTCATATGCTAATTTCATCGGTTTTGACCAGCGCGACGTCCTGGGGAATCCCACAGCATCACCATACTGGGGCTGGGCTGCGCCGCCGCGCTGCCGGCTGGGTCGATCACGCCCGTTAGCATGTGCACGGTCCTCGGGATTCTACCTATATCATCAATAAATTACGGTTTAGAGGCATTTGTATAACCTTTATCTATCTATCTCTATATATATATATATGTATATCTATATAATATATATGTATATGTATGTATATGTGTGTATATGTATGTATATGTATGCATATGTATGTATATGTATGTATATGTATGTATATGTATGTATATGTATGTATATGTATGTATATGTATGTATATGTATTTGTATTTGTATGTATGCATGTATGCATGTATGCATGTATGCATGCATGCATGCATGCATGTATGCATGTATGCATGTATGCATGTATGCATGTATGCATGTATGCATGTATGCATGTATGCATGTATGCATGTATGTATGTATGTATCTATATATGTGTGTGTGTCATGTGTCTACAAGTAATATACAGTAATGCCAATAAATGACAAACAATGCAACGACAAAATGAAATGCAATGCATGCATTTCACTGAAAGGTACTGCATGCAAAATAAAAAAAATATATATAAAACACATAGAAGTTCAACTTGTCTAAACCCGTGGTTACGACACCGGTATAACACAAAAAACTATATAATATAAGATGCAATTCATGACTTTTGATTTATCGCATATTTTGCACTTCCAACTGGGTGACAGCAAGCGGCCGGAAGCAGAGCGGTGATATCGTCATGATTGTCGTCTTTGTTCTGTTTTATAGTATTGGCGTTACTATTCCTATAACGATATTAATATGTATGATAGTAAACGTGAATCATCAACCAACAGGAGTGTCTTTCAACACGCCAGAAATCTAACTCTAAAAAACATCCACCATGGCTAACCGTCTTTAGTGCAGCCATGCATCATGATGGGGATTCCAGCAGTCATGGCACGCTCCGGGTTGGGAATTGCAGCACCTGCAACCGTTGCAACTACTTGACCTGGTCCTCTACAAAACCGATCGTGGGGATGCCGGCTGAAAACTTGGATCGTTGACTTCCAAACTTTGGAAAGCCATACCCCTCAGTGGGGATAATTTGAAGGATTTTTGATAATGGGACTGTGTCAGAATGGAATGTGGGTGAATATCCTTTAAGGTAATTTGTCATGACATGGACAATGGGCTGACTCCAAGGATCATCCCAGTGTAGATTCTAAGGATGACCTCCGGTAAACTAACAGAGATGTAGAAAATCCACCTATTTCTAGATGATTTTCCTAGGGAAACCATCGGTTTTTGCCCCAGGGTGTACATATTCTCTATGATTTAAATGATATAAGACATTCATTGACATTCTATGACATATTTCATAAAGTATGGATGCTTCAACTGGTTCAAGACACCCTTCCCATGCTCCATGTGCCTATCGCCAGACCCAGCGCTGCACAAACCACTGCCTCATTGAGGTCAGAGCCAGCCATAAACCGGGATATGCCAAGGAGACCATAGGATACCAGTACGAGCCCACATGCATGGCAATGCTCTGTCATGATAATAATAATGATATAAATAATACCGCTAGTAACTACTAGCAACAATGAGAATACCAAGGATATCATACTAAAGTTTAAAGATTCAGTGAGCTTTGTGGGCACGTCGTCCCGCCCGAAAAACAAAAAAACATGCTCATCAGCGATGGCCTGTTCGCATCGTTGCAGCCCGGCATCTGTGGAACCCACACAG